TGAAAAGGGAGGATAACATCAGTGCCTTCTTCACAAGGCCAGTGTGAAGATTAATGAGTTGGTTGATAGTTCTTCTACACCAGATAAGCCCTTAATGAGATTGGCTATTACTATTACCATTAATCTAACTTCAAACATCTACATGGGAGATATGAGCAAGTATCTGGTCAAGGCCTGCAGAAGACCCCAATCACTTTAACTCCCAGATGTGTTCACTCCCTTGAACCTTGCAGCCAACATACATACAATAAGAAGCTCGGTGCATTGCCCACCCCAGGTATTTACTAAACAGTTGATACATGAATGCATGCTGCCTCAGTTTACCCACCACTACCTTGGCTGTCTGAATAAACTACTCCTCGATGCCTACTCAGCATGTCCCTCCTCCCCACTTCTTTCTTACTGACCCTTTGGTCAGGGCATTGACAACTCCAGATTTAAAAATTGGATTTCCGAGACTTTTTTGTCTCGGGAGCAAGAGGTGGTCATGTCACAAAGTTCTAGCCAAAGAGACACAAGCAGAAGCCCACTAAGAAGTTCAGTGAAGGCTTTTGTTTCCTAACAGAGGTGCTGTCTCCTTTCCCTAGAGTAGCAGTTTTCAACCAGTATGCCACGATTATTGTTAAAACATCCGATACCTGACTATTTAGTCAGGGGCACTGACCTCTTTTTCCTTAGATTGTCACATTAAAAAAGTGCCAACAGTTGGCCCTGGCCGGTGGCTCAGTTGATTGGAGCATCATCCTATACACCTAAAGGTTGTGGATTCAATCTCGTCAGGGCACACACCTAGGCTGCAGGTTTGATCCCTGGTTGAGGGGCATACAGGAAGCAACGGACAGATGTTTCTCTCTCACATCGATGTTCCTCTTTCGCTCATTCTCTCTCTCTCCCCCAACCTCCACCCCCTCTCCCTGCCCCACTCTCTCTCTAAAAATCAATGGGCATATCTTCTAGCGAGGCCTTAAAAAAAATGCCAACAGCCAATACAATAACTGTCCAGTGTGAATGAATCAAAATTATATCTATTTCTTTTTGGTCAGATGAGCAAAAATACATATTTTTGGAGTTCCATTGAAGTTTAATACTTAGTTTACGTGTGCCATGAAATGAAAAAGGTTGGAAATCGCTGCCCTGGGGCTTTACTTCTTCCTGCCTGAACAAGAATGTGGGGCTAAATAAAGGTGAAGCAGCTGTCTTAAGGTGACAGGGCAGATAAAGAGAAGCCTGGGGCACCAGACAGGTGGTAAGCTGCAATACCACCTGCTCCTGCTGACCTCTGCATTTCTCCTTTTGTGAGAAAATGACTGGATGGTAGCCTGTCTCCAAAGAAGGCCACCTCCCAGAGCTTGACCTCTATCCTCCCTCCCACACGGAATCTGGGCTGACCCCATGACTTGCTTTAACCAACAGAATGAGGCTGAGGTGATGTGGGGCCAGTTCTGAGCTTACGCCTTCAGAAGACTTAGGAAGCCCTGGGCTGCCACACTGTAAGTCCTGCTACTGGCTGGTGAGTCAACATGGGAGAAGAGGTTCTGAGACTAAACAGAGAGAGAAGCACCAAACCATCTCCAGGATACCATGTGAACATTCTGGCCCCACCTACCTTCTGACTGCAGCCACTTAAGAAATCCCCAAAGTAAAACTTGCAGAAGATGAGTTTCAAACAACCAGAGATTCATAAAAATAACAAACTGTTGTCATTTTAAGGCCTTGAGTTTTGGAGTAGGTATCTTGTTATGTAGCAACAGAGAACTGGAACAGACTGCTGTTGGGGTACACCACTGCACAAGTTTCACAGAGCCAAATATACTCTTTTAGTACCACCTAAAAAAGAAACATGCCACCCCGGCTGGTGTAGCTCAATGGATTGAGCATGGGCCTGTGAACCAAAGTGCTGCCGGTTCGATTCCCAGTCAGGGCACATGCCTGAGTTGTGGGCCAGGTTCCCAGTAGTCTGTACTTGAGAGGCAACCACATGTTGGTTTTCCCTCTCTCTTTCCCTTCCCCTCTCTCTAAAAATAAATACATAAAATCTTTTTAAAACATTAAAGAAAAAGAAACATGCTAATTGATCACAAACAAAATCTCTTACATATTCTGATTCCCAAAGATTGTTAATATGAAAAAACATGAACCTTCTGTCACTCTTATTTCATAAGTACCCATAATACCCATAATTTGCCTTAAGGAAAATGAATCCATTAACCAGTTTTGTAATTAAAAAGCACTTAAAGTAGATGGTTCAATACTGTGCTAGACCTAGTGAGAACACTGAGAAAACATATCTCTTATCTGTGCAAGGGTCATCATTATATTAGTGAGACTTCATATTCATTCTCAAAGGCTTAGAGCTTAAGTTAACAAGGCAGCAAAGCAGGTCAGGCTCCTGCAATTCAATTAAAGAAGGCTATCAATAAAAATAGTAATTTGGGGAGGAAACATTAGAAACAAAGGACACGCACATCAATGACAACCTCGCCAAATAAATGACATACCCCCACACTGCTGTGTACTATTCACCCATTAACAACAGTAAATTGGCGTGTTACCTGAGACTTCAGAGGCATTTCCACATGGTATTGCCATGTAAGAAAAGCAAAATGCAGGAAAATAAGGGTAATATTATCCCTTATAGGATGACGTTTCCCCCTATAGGATTATATAACTACGGAGAAAAATGTAAAAAGATACATTTAGTACTTGATTGTTACCATGGGCGGAGAACTGTGGGACGGTGCAGGTGGGGCAGCAAGTAGGAGGAAGAAAGAAGTCCACAAAAGGACAGATTGAAAAAATTAAAAGGAGGCTTGAAATCAGTTCATAAAAGTAATTATCATCCCCTTTTATTGAGTACTTTCTACGCACTGGACACAGTTCGTACTAGGCCACCCGATCTCATTTTAAATTCTCATTTAACCTGGCTGGTGTAGCTCAGTGGATTGAGCGCGGGCTGTGAACCAAAGTGTCACAGGTTCGATTCCCAGTCAGGGTACATGCCTGGGTTGCAGGCCATGACCCCCAGCAACCGCACATTGATGTTTCTCTCTCTCTCTCTCTCTCTCTCTCTCTCTCTCTCTCTCTCTCTCTCTCTCTCTCCCCCCTTTCCTTCTCTCTCTAAAAATAAATAAAATCTTAAAAAAAAAGGAAAATTTATCCTTTAAAAAAATTCTCATTTAATGTAGGTACTATTAATTATTCTCATTTTCCAGATAAGGAAACTGAGGCCCTGAGAAGATAAATATCACATCCAGAGTCTGAGCAGTGCTGGGACTTGAGCATGATGCGCAATGGCCTCCCAGGGTGGTCGACCCCAAAACCACTGGACTTGGAGCTCCACGGCACCTCCTCTAACTCTCTCTCTGCCTATTTTTCAAACGGCAGCAGGCCCCCAGGTGTGAAGATGTGTGATACACACACCTCAGTCCCTTGTGTTATTGGGAGAGATCCAGAGGGCCGCTGACCTTGTTACATAGAGCCTGGGGAAGCCCTGCCCAGGATATTCTTACAAAATCAACCGCCGACACTGGGAGCCAGAAGACTGCTGAGGAAGTGTCAGCTATTTCACAGCAAGACTCTGCAAGCTCACCACTTAATTAAAACCTGTTCGGCCCCAGAACAAGAATTATTGCCTGTGAAAGCAGGGAAGACCAATAAACTGTGCCTGGCCAGTTAATTCTTATTTCCAAAGCATTCCCTGGCCTCCCTACCACAGGAAGACCAAGCAAGGCCTGGTGGTAAAGTCGGCTTCCCACACACACGGGATGTATGTCTACGAGTGGTGTCTCTAACAAAGCCTTCCCCACCCAATCCACCTGCACACATCTTCTACACTCATTAGCACCATGGCTGTGTGTTCCATGACACGTACACCCAGGCTGTCCCGATAAGCCAATGCCAGAGCCTGGACTGTGAAGACTGAAGGGGCTGAGGGACAGGAGGCCAGAAGGCTGGATGCCGCAGGAAGGCCCAAGAACCTGCTGGCTGACCAAGGAGAAGGTGCGTGCATGCCACCTCCCTGACAGCTGCACATTTCTGGATATTCTGACATCCTACTCCAACCCCAAACAGGAGAGCTGCCCATCCTTGGGCAATGTTGCACCTGCACATGATGTCATAAATGCACTCATAAAACAATTTATCCCACACCTACCACATGCCAGAACTGTTCCACAAGGACAGAGACAGAAGTCCCTGTGCTTTCCTGGAGCCTATAGTTGGGGAGTGGAGGGATAGGTAATAAACAAATATATGAGTATGTCAAGTGGGGATCAATACTATAAAGAAAAATAAAGCACAGTAAATAGCTCGAGAGTGATGAAGAAGATGCTATTTAAGGACAAAGGCCTCACAGAGAAGGTGACATTTAAGCAGAGACCTGGATAGGGAGCTTTGGGGATACTGGGGCAAGTTTTCCAAGCAGAGGGAACAGCCAGGGCAAAGGCCCTGAGGGAGGAAGGGCAGGAGGCCAGTGTAGCTGGAGTTCAGCCAGCCGCAGCTGAGAAGTCTGAGGTAAGGTAGACAAGGGGTCTGGGGGCTGGGGGATAAGGTAGGGGCACAGGGATAGTAGGCACCGAGCACCACCCCATGCCCATACTTTACATGTATTAGAAAGGTGAGTGGGTACTGCGCCTATTTCCCATTTCATCAGGTGAGGAAACAGGCCTGGAGAGGGAAAGGAACTCACCTGAGACCACACGGCTTGTGTGGACCAGGCTGGGATGCCCCCCCAGTACATGGCACAGAAGTTCACATCCCACCGGAGATCAACACTCACCACTTCCTTCCAGGGAGAAATAGCCTCCATTTCCTTCTCACTCCCTAACACTATGCCTACCCCTTCTTCACGGTATGCAGCAAACGGGTAAATATTTCATGGGAGAGGCAGGAGGGGAAAAAAAGAAGACAAAAAAGCCAGTAGTCCAATTCCAGAAAAGAAGAAACAGCATTAACTTTCTCTATTCCACAGGTCACTACCAAACTTGGCAAACACCACTCACCTAAAAGATGTCCCCGATCACAAGGTAGGCAGGTGACTGTGAGGGGAGTTCCAGGCAGTCGGGTGTCTTGGCAGGTCTTCTTCAAGCAAAGTATACCTGCCTGAGCTCTGCAGGCTGCCCTTGGCCTTGGTGGTACCTCCCCCAGCCCGCTTGCGTGTCTGGAATGCGGAAACGGGAACCTGCCGTGCCAGCTACTAACAGCGACTTATTCAGCAGCCACAGGAACATGCCAACCACCGGAGTTCCCCAAAAGATGGTTGGCTGATCTTCGTGAACGGGCGCTTCTCAAAGAGGGTTGTTTTGCCAACAGTCCCTTTAGGGGAGGGAAATAAAAGGACTCCTTACTCCGCAGACACGTGGTCTGAGGAGCCTGAATGGGCTTAAGAGAAAGCTCAAAGGTAACAAAGAGGGCTCGCCTGTTACCTCCAATCTAGGAATGGGCTACCTGTTTGCTGACGCAGCCAGGGCTGGATCTGTGCCCACAGCATCCCCAGCCCTGGGCTTGTGCCTGCTCGCTTTGTTCACAACTTCACGATCCAAAGATGGGCTCCTTTCCCTGTGCAGACAGGGAACTAGTTCGAAGAGGCAACAACCCGGCTTAATGATTAAGCACTGCCACTGGACTCCTGGGCCAGCTCTTGAAGCACAACTGAATGGCTGGGCCTAACAATAACCCCCAAAACCCAAGAGATTCACTGCACAAGGCACTATTCTAAGCACTTCATAGGAATTCTTTCTCCTAGTTCACTTAACTACCCTCTAAGTAGGTACTGTTACCATTCCTATTTTACAGATGAGAAAGCTCAGGAACAGGTAAGTCACAAGCCAGGAGGCCACATAGCAAGAAAGTGGTAAAGGAGAGAGTTAACCCAAGCACAGCAACTCTTGGTTTCCAATTCCTCACCACTTCACTAGATCTCCTCTCAAGAGAAACTGGCCCTCCCCATCAGGCCTCAGTTTCCTCACCTGTAAAATGAGGTGAGTATGAGAAGTCAGAGAAATCTTTCTGGTGAGCACTTAGCCCCAACCCACAAGAATGCTCCATAACTATCAGCTGCAGTTATCACATGCTGACCACACATTCAATCAGGTTCAGCTTATCCCTTTAAAATGAAGACAATCCATTGTCACGGAGTTTAAATTCTGGGCAGCTAAAGGGAAATGAGTAAGAAAACTGCCATTCTTTTCATCTACAAAAAAGTATACACAACCTATGTATTCTGAGTCAGGCTCTGAGACACAGCACACAAAATCTGCACAGACCCCGCCCTCAGGGAGCTTACAGTCAGCTGTCTGGGAACAAACGGGCACAAAACGGAGAAAGAACAGTAGAGCATCTGGGTGATGTGATCACTGCGGGCCAGGCACCGTGGCATTCTAAGTGCTTTACAAACTTGAATGCACTGAATCCTCCCAACAGCCAAGGAGGGCAGTGCCACTACCAGCCCCACTTTATGGATTTGGAAACAGAGACACTGCAAGGCTAAGTAGCCTGCCCAAGGTCACACAGGGGGCTGAGATGGATCCAGAACTTGAATCCAGGTGGTCTAGCACCAGAGCCCACACTCCAACCTTTAGTCTCTCTGCAGTCTTACAAGGCAACCACTTAACACTGTATCCATAAGTAGCAGCAACAGGCATGCACAGGAAATTTCAGCCTGCAACATGGATGGTCACTTTCATAGGTTGTTGGGAGGAGAGTGCAGGATTATAACATGATATTTAATTATTCAATTAAGTCATTTAATATACTAATAAACTGGGTTGAACTCAGAAGAAGGAAGAGTAAACATTGGGAGAAGAAGTATCAATAATTTAGTATTTGAAGATAACACCATCCTACTGGCAGAAAGTAGCAGTGATCTGAAATGCCTTCTAATGAAAGTGAAAGAAAGTACCAAAGCAGAACGGCAGGTGAACATCAAGAAGAGTAAAATCATGACCACAGAAGAAGCACACAACTTTAACACAGACAATGAAGACATTTAAATTGTTGACGATTTTGCTTACCTTGGCTCAGTCATCCATTCAAATGGAGGCAGCAGCCAAGAAATCCAGAGAAGGCTGAGGCTCGAAAGGGCAGCAATGGGAGAATTAGGGAGCGATTACTAAGAGCAAAGACGTGTCATTAAAAACCAACGTTAAGATCACACACATCCTCATATTCCCAATTACTATGTATGGATGTGAAAGTCAGACAGTGAAGAAAGTTGATGAGAAAAAAATTGCTTCCTTTGAAATAATGTGTCAGAAGAGAGGCCTACAGCTTCCCTGGATCACAAGAAAAACAAACAAATGGGTCCTGGAGCAAGTTAAGCCTGAAATGTTGCTACAGGCCAAAATGACAAAACTGAAGTTGTCCTACCTCAGGCACATCATGAGAAGGCAGTGCTCTTTGGAAAAGGCGATAAAGGTGAGAAAAATGGAGGCATCAGGAAAAGAGGATAGCCAAATACGGGGATGGATTGATTCCACAAAAGACACCACAGGCATGAGTCTACAGCAGCGGTACAGGGCTGCTGAGGACAGGATGCTGTGAACACCACTCATTCACAGGGTCTCCAGGAGTCTGAGTTGACTCAACAGCATGTAACACACACAGTGCAGTTGACTCTTTTTAGATAGATTCATTTATTTATTCATTTTAGAGAGAGAGGAAGGGGAGAAGAGAGAGAAGGAAACATCGATTTGTTGTTCCACTTATTTATGCATTCATTACTTGATTCTCGTAAGTGCCCTGACCGGGGACTGAACCTGCCACCGTGGTGTATTGGAACAACACTCCAATCAACTGAAACTATCCAGTCAAGGCAACAGAGTTGATCCAAACAACATGGATCTGAACTGCGTGAGCCACTCATACATGGGTTTTTTTCTCACTTAATACTGTAAATGCATTTTCTCTTCCTTATGATTTTCTTTAATTTCTTTTCTCTACCTTACTTTATTGTAAGAATACAGCATATAATACATATCACACACAAAATATGTGTTAATTGACTGTTTATGTTATCAGTAAGGTCAACAGTAGAATATTAGTAAAGTTTTGGGAGTCAAAAGTTATATGTAGATTTTTGACTATGAGGTGGGGGCAGCACCCCTAACCCCTGTGTTAACAGCAGAGGCCACATTCTTGAGCACTTCCCATGTGCAGCTAAGGGAGGTAGGCACTTAAGCTTCATCCACTCTCTTAATCTACACAGGCATCCTATGAGGCAGTCCTTAGAGGGGGAAGCCGAGCCTCTGAGAGGGACACCTTGCACAGGAATTGGCCAGGAGCAGAGAGGGGGTGAGAAGCGTTTGAGTTCAGTGAATGCTCTCAAACACCGTGCACACTGTCCCTCACACTGCTGCCTTGTCATTCGGCTTCAGTTTACCTGAATTTTCAGACAAAAGGTGGATATGATTCAATAACAAAAAAAGCCATGTCTTGATTCAGGTAATTACAAAACATAGTTGGTAAGTATGATGATACAAAAGTAGATGGATATCATGCTTCCACTTTGTTTCACTAACTGTGGCGCGATATCCAAATGTTTGCCTACCCAATATCCCTTCCCCTCTCCCAGTTCATTCCCAAATAGTGATGTAATTTTACTCCTGTAGCCACTCTCCTCCCAACAGTCATGTGCTTCCGGTGAGGATGGGTCCAACCCTAGCAACAAAGGAAACGAAACCTTGACTGGCCCTTGCCTGTGATTTGCTCATGCATGATCATGTATCACAATGCTGTCCAATGAAATATAAGGGGAACCTGGGAGGCAGGGCGCCTAGATAGGGTTTCCTCTCTTGAAAGACTAACATAGTGAGTGAGAGAATGCCCTCTTTCTGCTGCTGGATGTGATGACTAGAGCTGTGGCAGTCATCCTGCAGCCATGAGGGGAGTCTACCGTCACAAGCACACCTGAGGCAAAGACACCAGATATGGCAGAGTGACAGCGCTAGCCTACAGGCATTGTGAAACTGCTTAATTAATCAGTCCTGATGCTACCTACCTATAAGTTTGTTACATGAGTTCACAATGCTGATTTCGGGCAAATTTCAGCTGGGTTTCCTATTCGAGCAGATCAGTGGTTCTCTCAAAACGTGCTCCCAGGCCCAGGAGTACCAGTATCACCTGGAAACTTGTTAGAAATGCAAATTCTTAAGCCAGACCTACTGAATCAGAAACTCCAGGTAGGGCCTGGCATTCTGTGTCTTAACAAGACTTCCTGGGGATTCCACTGTAGGCTCAGGTTTGAGAACCACTGCAGAGGCACACAGTGATGAAGGGCTCTGAGGGAGGCCTCTGGAGTCAGGCTCCTTGGATCGAAATCATGTCACCACCATTTCCTAGCCATGTGACCTTGGGCAAGTTATTTAAATTTAGTTGTCTCATCTGCAAAAGGGGAATAATAAGAATACTCATCAGGCCCAGGCTGGCTCCATGGATTGAGTGCTGGCCTGCAAACCAAAAAGGGTCACAGGTTTGATTCCCAGTCAGGTCACATGCCTGGGTTGCGGGCCAGGCTCCCAATTGAGGGCACATGAGAGGCAGCCACACATTGATGTTTTTCTCCCTCTCTTTCTCCCTCTCTCCCCGTCTCTCCATAAATAAATACATAAGCTCTTCAAAAAAAAGAATACGTATCTTATAGGGTTGAGGGGAGGCTTAACTGAGTCACTTCATGGGGAGCCCTAGCACAATGCCAGCACAGAGTAAACATTACATAAATCACCTGTTGATATTACTATTGTTTACACCCAAAGGCATACCAACCAACCGACACGACCTCCCAACTGAGCTCCCCAAAAACCACATCCATAACTCCTCGATGTTGTTTTGCTCTGATGGACCCAGCCCAGTGTCCTGGCGTTCCAGAGACACTCGAGTCTCTGGTTAGCACAGGGGGTGATGCGACATGCAAACGCAAGAGGTGCTGCAGGCCTTCTCCCAAGTCCAGACCATCACCCCCAGACTTCCACCCACAGCTTGGGCCTCCGAAGTCCCGGCACACACTCCTGTGGACAGTCCTAGCTGGGCACTCTTCTGGCTACTATGCCCAGTTACTGATCCAGAATGCTCACAAGTTCTGCCTGACCCTGGAGAGCACCCCATCACATGAAGTCATGCCAAACACTGGCAACAGTCCAGGGGTGCCCTTCCCTCTGTAGCTGAGATTTCAAAACTGGTGGCACCAAGATGCAGAAAGCCAAAGAAGGACTAATGCCACCCTAGGTAAGGTCCCAATAGCAAGAAACAGCCTCTTGTCAGGCTTAACAGCAACACTAAGCACAGGGCTGTGGAT